CCAGTTGAAACTATGGTTAAGACTGTCCATGTGTTGTGAGATTAAGGAGTTTTCATCGTGTCTTCCGACTGCTAGTTGGTGTTCATAGATGTGCTCAGCTAGCTTTTTGTCTCTCTGTCCTACATGTGACAGTCCTTACATTGTATGTTGTAGATGACCCCTGTTTTTCTTCTTGGGCTACTGGGTCTTTTGGTTTGCTTAAGATGTTTTGGAGGGTTTGAGTTGGTTTGTGTGCTACGGAGATGCTGTGTGGTTGTAATAGTCTGTCAGTTGCTTCTGAGATGTTTTTGATGTATGGTAGTGTTATTCTTTTCATAGCTTGTGTTGCTTGTGATTGATAAAGTTGTGTGGGTATCCATTTTGTTGGAAGAAGTTGTGTAGGTGGTCTGTTTCTTTTTTCTGGTGTTCTGGGTCGCTGCAATTTATCTTCAAAACAATATACTTTAAAAGAAGCTGTTTTCTTATATGTCGTCTTCTGAGGGATGTTGGAACAAAAAAGAATTGGGTGTGTGTGAGAAGAATTTAGAAAAATTAAGGTGTTTTTTCTTTTTTTTAGAAAAGGAAAGAGCTCTCAGGTGAGGTTCTGTTCTCCCTACCAGCCAAACCAGGAATGGCCACAGAATCTCAGAGCCCAACAGCTGCATAGGGGGAAATAGTCCTGCTGTGGTTCATTTGCAACCATACAGGTCGCTAAACCCCCGAAAATGTTGACTGCTCTATGTGATCGAGAATGTCTGCAAGAGCATTTTCTCCTGGGAAACACCCCTTTCCTGCTTGATCTGGCTTAGCTGACCTCAGCAGCAGGCCGATCCTGGGATCAGCGGCATCTTCAGGGGAGGGGGAGCAAAAGCAGCAAGATGGCTCCATCTACCACCTTGCTGATTTTGATCCCACCCCCACGTGGAAGCCGCTGCCCAAGACGGAGGCTCTGTTGTAAGAGAGAACCTCAGTGGCTAAGTGGGCCATCTTGTAGCCAGGAAAGGAAGCAACGTGGCAGACAATAACCTGGGGAGAATTTATATTGGACCATCCATTTCTAAATGGAACTTGAAAAGCTCCCCAGCATGGCGGGTCAAAGCTGACTGCTGTTAGAAGTTGGGCAGAGGAACATCAATGCCCAGGTGAGTCAAGGCAGTTGCAAATACCCACAGGTGTGGTTCAGGGGTCATTTATAGGCCTTCCCATTTGGGGAGGGGGCAGTGGCCAGCAATGGTGGGTGGGGGGGAGAAGCAGAACCAAAGCATTTGATGGGAATCTGTTGCTATAGACCAGTGTTTTTCAGCCTTGGCAACTTTAGGATCTGTAGACTTCAACTCCCAGAATTCCCCAGCCAGCATGCTGAGTTAAAGTCCACACGTCTTAAAAGAATGCTAGCTGGGGAATTCTGGGAGTTAAAATCCACCCATCTTAAGGCATGCTGGCTGGGGAATTCTGGGAGTTGAAGTCCACCCATCTTAAAGTAGGTTGGCTGGGGAATTCTGGGAGTTGAAGTCCACCCATCCTAAAGCAGGCTGGCTGGGGAATTCTGGGAGTTGAAGTCCACCTATCTTAAATCAGGCTGGCTGGAGAATTCTGGGAGTTGAAGTCCACCCATCTTGCTGCAAACTGGCTGAGGAATCCTGGGAGTTGACGTCTGCCCATCTTAAAGTAGCCAAGGTTGAAAAATGCCTCTAAGGACAATTCCTAATGTGTACTTCTGCTATTTTTGCATGCAAGGAAGCTACACAGTGAGTCCAAACTCGCCTCTTCTACCCCCGTACCGATTCCTCTGTTCCCCACATCTCACGCCCTGCGCCTACAGAGGGCCAACCTTCTTCCTTTCCTCCGAGAAGCAGGGTGGCCCCTCTGCAGATTCTCCACTCCCTTGTAAGGAAAGGCCTTCCCCCCACCCCTGCCGAAGAGCTGGATGTCACATTTAATCATCCCTAATTATGCTGAGTTTTCTTGGCTCCGGTTGTGGCTCACTGGGGGAAAAAACAATAGCGGTGTGGGGCGGCTGTAATTAAGATACGTTCTGCAGCCGCCCCCCCCATTTCAAGCATTGCTTCTGCACGCCCGGGCAAGAGAGATCCACCCGCCCCAGCAAATCTGAGACCGCAAAGGGACGTTGGCAGCAGGTTCCACTCACCGGCAGAAAGAGGGGCCTCCTACTGGCGTTGTTTTTTAACATCTGGAGGACCCAAAAGGCTTAAACCTTTTCCCGCGCTGACTTGCTTGAGGGCACAGAGCAGAGGCACAATCCCCCCCGTGGCTTTAACCGGCTGGAAAGACTGAGAACGTGCATTCGCAGGACACGCGATGCTCGGTTACAGGAACCTCGGTTAGGTTCTTGTCAGGTTACCCTGTTGTGCAAACATAACCCCTTTGGCTGCGATTCAGTGTTTAGAGCTGTGTTTCTCAACCTCAGCAACTTCAAGAGGTGTGGACTTCAACTCCCAGAAT